TTCGTCATGCGGGGTTCGCATACGGCGTTCCTGACCACCGTTGGAGTGAACGTCAGTAAAAGAAATAAAACCCAGGAGAATGCCGCAAGCAAACCAACGAACGATCGATACGTGTCTATGGTGTCCCCGAAGTCCAGTCATCCGGCGAGCAGCAGGTCCAAGCTCAAGACTTGGAACAGTGGCGTTACATCTCTGAAGCCCTCTCTCTTCATGACGTGATTGCCAACTCAACTTTAAGATTGTCCACATCACCCAACCATAAAGGAATTGGTCCAAGGGTGTTGTAATTCATGCTTTACTCCAAGCAAATAGTTGAAAGAGTGCGCTGAAGTTGGCACAACTTACCCACCAAGCCGCCATCATTGATACATCTGAAGACGGTCGAAACCAGGCCACTATTGGGTGAGGGAACACAAAACCAGTGAGAAGTTGCCGTGATCCCCGCTGTTTGCGTTTTCGAACAGGAACGCAGTGCAACTCCCCAAGCCGTCCGAAGAGGAAGAAACAAACAAGCCGTTGCAACTCGCCTCTAAAAGACTAAGTAGCGGGTGCTTTATGCAACAGGCCGAAACCGCCCCGGGGTGTTGGCAAGAAATATATCCAAAAAACGATTGGCTTGCGGCCCCAAAAGGATCGGCGTAAATTCAAGGGCAACCTACGTATGTCCAAGTACGCTTCTAGCACTCGTTGCTCTCAGTTGTTTGTATACAAACACCCAAGGGCTTCTCAGTGAATTGGTAGAAATTCCATCTCGTCAAACCAAGGTGTTGGGACCTCATTATGGTAACCGATACATGGCTGAACGACGTGATTACCGACGCCTAGGTCGCACTACCTGGTATGTCACTCCTGCGCAAAGACAGACCCATAAAGGGGGCGGTGCAATTTTTTAATATTGTTCTGACCTCATCGAGCGCGTAAACGACCCTGGGCTTCAAACTGTGGACGCCCTATGGTGCTGCCTACACTTAAGGCAAGGAGATAGATGCTGTGACCATTGTATATCGCCCACCAACTACCACATTAGAAATGGACCGGGTGCTATCTTCTACTATGAAAGATCTACTGGAAGGATCTTACAACTACGTTCTCCTGGTAGGGAACTTCCATCTGCACGGCCTAGAAACTTCGGCCACTCTGAGTGAACAATTCAAGGCGGATTTGCAACAGCTAATAGCTGGCTAACCGCTGTACAACCACGTCACTTCTCCAACACGTTTTTAGGACAGGAAACAAACTGGTCATCTTGGGCCTCGTTTTTACCAACGAGGCCTTGGTAGACGTAGTAACGACGTGCACACCTTTGGGCCGCAGCGTTGTGTTATGCAGAGCATACTAAAGAGAATAAGGTGGAATATTACGTCATAACCAACTATGATAACCTGTCCGAACTAACTGATGCAACAAGCTGGTCTTTCCTAGCCTAATGGTCACCTGAAGTGGTTTGCGGGGAACTTGTCAAAAGATTCAACTGGCTCGTGACATACGCCACTGAAATCAAAATCCATCGGCCCAAAAAGATGAAGTCGTTCCTAAGAAGCAGGACCCGGAAACGCATAACATTGAGGGACTTGGCAAGGCAAGCCAACATAGTCTCTCGGAGCGAGGATACGTAAGGTGTCTATACAATCCGAAGGAACCACTGTGTCAACCTCGTCCGGGAGGATAAAGTAAAGAACCAACAAGACCTTGTGGTAAAATTTTGCTCTAACCCAAAGCTGTTATACAGACAAACAAACTTCGCCTCGTTAAGCGCGGAATTCCGGCTCTGCACACAGCGTGCGGGTTAGCACAAATGGTACAAGAAGCAGCCAATGTTCTTAGACAACAAGTTGGCTGTACCTTCTAGAGTGTGCAACCATCCTACACCATGACTTCGCATCTCCTCCCTCCATCAGCCTTAAGCACATATATTTCACCACCGCAGCTATATTGCAGCGGCTGATGTCCTTACGCGAATACAGCTCCCGGGTGCGGACGGCATTCGCCCGAGGGCGTTAAAGTTGTCGCCATGAGTTTAGCTGAACCGTTAGCAACACCCTATCAGTGATGTCTTAATGAGATGCACGTCCCCAAGATGTGGAAGCACGCGATCATTATCCCAATGTACAAAGTGGTAACCGTGCAGAATCAACCAATTATCGTCGGACTACACTTCTTCCAGTGATCTTCATGATCATGGAGTCCATTGTAGTTGAGGCGTTAATGAAGTCGCTGGAGAATAACCAAATCCTCGTTCCAAAGCAGCACGGATTTCTCCAAAATCGGCCCTGCACCACTAATTTGTTGACAGCTCGTGCAAGCTGGACGGAATCTGTGGACTCCGATGTAGGAGTGGATGCAGCCTAGCTGAACTTCTCAAAAGCAGTGGACCGCGTGGACCATGTCATTCTACTTCACAAACTCCAGAATTATGGCATAGGCGATCCCGTTCTAGGATGGTTAGAATACTTTCTCGTTCAACGTCACCTGAATGTGAGGGTTCGCAGCACCCTGTCGGACCAAGCGAAGTTTAGTGCGGCGTAACTCAGGGCTCGGTACTCGGACCACGCGTATTCATAGTTATTATAAGTGATTTTGCAACTGATCTGTCTTCAAACTGTCTGCTATTTGCAGATGATCTAAAGATATGGCGTGATGTCGCCCCAGTGGAGGAACAACATAGCCCAACAGGATGACCTGGACAAAGCGTACGCATGGTCCATCGAGAGCGTGCTACAGTTCAACACTACAAAGTGCAAAATGCTGAGCATACACCATCAGAGTATTCACAACTACCACCTGGGACCAGAAATTCTATAGCTGGCTTCTCATGAGTGCGATCTTGGCGTGCTTGTGCAAGAGGACCTTGGGGCTTCAAGGCAGACTGAAAAGGCATCAAAGAAAGCAAACCAACACTTCGGCCTTCTTCGTACAGCGTTTGGGAAGTTTGACGCCTCAAGTTTCCCGAAAATGCTTGGCACGTACGTGAGGCCGCACACGGAATATGCTATTCAAACGTGGCAATCCTGGTTGAAGCACCACCTCACCACGCTCGATACCGCACAACGCAGGGCGACAAAGAACGCCGTGGGTTTGTCCCGCCTTCCCTACCCACTCAGGCTTAAAACTCTCAAAATATACAGCGGATCTTATCGGCGTTTAAGAGGCGATCTCATCCTGGTGTAGTAGAACCTAAGCAACTCCAACCACACATAAACATCCTCTTTTGAAGCTCAGTCAAAACACATCTAAGGGGTCATAAGTTTAAGCTGGCCACGCAATACAGCCGACTTGAATGTCGACGAAACTTCTTCTTCCTCCCAGTGTCACAGCGGGGGAGCGCCCTCCCGGAACATGTAATTAATGCTCCCACCCTATCCCTTTACAAAAAACGCCTTCACGATACTGACACATTTACACTACGTGCTGTAGCCCATGACTACCAGATTCTGGCATTAGTACACACACAAAAACAATGGTCGGCATTGCCATTCCCCAATAATTCAGGCAGGAATACTCGCTTATGTGCTACTCCAGACCTCTTGGTGTGTCATGTATTTCAAACTTTCTTTTACTGATACGGTTTTTAATTTTGCGATTTTTACTCTCACCATCCTACGGGACACGTCAAGCATTCGCTTTTATACACGTCATAAATCATTGCTCCATTGCTCGCCATCCATTCTGTTGGTGTAGCTGTCGCAGATGACGATTTTCACCACTTCAAGCCTTGTGGCGCCGCTTGAATCTACATTCCCAATGATCTCGACGTTTATTAATTAACACAGATACGGACTGCTTATACATGTGTGCAAGCAAATAAGTCTGAGGACTTAAAGGTACGCCAATGGATGGTAATGAGGGACGCTTTGTATCAAGACATACGGAGAAGTGTCTGAAGGTAGCAAGCGCTAAATTGCAACAGAGCTCGACGTTGTTTAAGTCGATATTACATCCTGAGTTTAGATGTTAGATGAGTAATACATTTATGGACATGCTGGTTTAACCGTTCATGGCTGCAGAGTTGCGTTTCGATCTGGTGGCTTACTGATGTTTGTATCATTTCGCTATCTCTATTGGCTATTTGGAGTCGTTATTTTTGCCTTCAGATCCTAGCCCTACTTTGACGCTCATATACTCAATTCCGTTCGTTCTGCGCACCTGATTGGTTCCTTATTAGTGCAGTCTTTTATGGGCTTTACTTGTTCGTACTCTTTCCGTACTCCGGTTGGCTTTCACACTTGTTTGTAATGCTATATCACGAAATGGCTTCTCTATGTAAAAGAACCCTTGAGTCCTTGTCCCTGGTCGTTCGTGTTCTCACTACCGTTGGTGGGTGGAAGTAGTCGCAGGGCTACGATACAACAGTAGATGAAATGCTACTGCATTGTATTCGAGGTCGACCTTCGGTGACCATGATTTGAATCTTTTGCGTTCTGCGGTCCTTGTACGCAGTACTTGCGGTACGGACAATGCTCGGTCATATACAGCATCTGCAACTAAATTTATAGCTGGAGTTGTTCATGTTAACCGTCAAAGGTGGTGAGCCCTTCAAATACATAAAGCCGATATGGGCATTTTGCTTATCTGAAAGCCACTTCTGACTGTGCCGTGCTTCTTAAATTTTCAATCATTTCGTAAGTTCCCACTTTACAAGGAATTTCCATCGTTTTAATTTACCTCATCTCTATTCGGATTTCGATTAAAAGTTCTCAACCTGTTTCAAGTGTGTTCCACGATTTTGAGGTAACCACACATTTAAACGTCCCATTCATCTAAATCCCTGGGTAGACGCGATAGAGGCGGGGCAAGTTAAAACCGCGAATACGGGAAACTCATTGTGCAAGCTGTGCTGATCCAGCTAACGTCGCCCGAGTCCCGAGGAAAAGCAACGGAGAGGAAGGTGATCCTTGGAAGCACAATTACCGGTTCACATCCTGTGTGCACATAATCCAAGCATGTTGACCCAATGCGTTGCTGATTCGTTACAATTCTGAGCACTAATGCTGTAAAGTTACCGATAAATTGCATTTTTTCCTAGCAAGTAGGAACGTGACTGAGGTGTTTTTCGCTCTAAGGATAGAGGAAAATAAATGAGCAATATTTCACTCTCTTCCTTCCCTAGATGTGCCGCGCAGTGAGAGTTCACCTGACACTTATAGCGCCGTAGGTTCTATGTGAACGTCTAACTTTAATCGTGCACCACCGAATTGCCCAGGATGTTCAGGTGGTGCAAATGAGTTCAACGACAGAGTCCCCACAACAATCGTATTGGCAGCATGAGACTTGCATGGCACAGTCGAAGGTAATCCACTTAATCATACCGGGCACTGATTGAAAGGCCGGAGCTAATTTGGGCAAGGGCTGGAATTAGCAGTGCCACTGAGTGCCCTGTACGAAGTTATCATAGCTCCTAAAGTAATAGGCTGCAGTTGGGCAAGGCACACTAGGAGACTACACAAATCCTCTTAAGCTCCAAGATTTAAGTCAGAGTCTACCGGAAGCGATTATAAGCTACCGTCTGGTTGCCATACGATGTACTTGTATCGACAGGTCATCTCATTAGTTTCCAAGTCATCCGGTCATTTCGTTATATTTGAACACATCAATTGTGTGCATCTCCCGGCCCCACCAGGAAACGAATGCATGACCTCAAGACACTAGTATATTACTCCACTAACCTACTCAGTTATGTACCTAGGCCATGGTTGAAGGCGGAAGACCTTCATGATTCCCAAGCTACTTGCGATCGATCTTCCGTCGTAACCCGTGGCCTGGTGACATAGGTTACGGGCTAGGGAGGCAAGCTGCTCGGCTCCTGATGGAGCTGGGCGAAACGAAGCATTGCCGAGTCCCGGTAAGACGAAACGGCCGTCTGGTGCCTTGCCGAATGCACAGTAGGCCAACCGGCTTGGATGCTATTGTGACGAACTCTCGATATAATTACGTTAAGTAGAGCAGGATGCAGCTTTACTGTATAGTTCGAGCGCAGAAGTGTACAGGTGAATTGTTTCAATTTATCTAAACCTACTGGATATGTTACATTCACTAAGAGAATGCATGTCATGCGGTATGAAAAAGTGAGCAACTCACCTTCCACCATCGACCCGGTGGGACCTCGGTGAAGTGTAGTCATGGAGCCAGTTCTGGAGTCAATATCCTGCACGCCTCTACCGATTGGTTGTAAGATTATTGTTTCGACTTCTTCGAAGGCATCAGTTCCTCCGGTCGTCTTTAAAGAGGAAAAGATTGGCACGGTGTGATGGTATCAATTTATCCTCAAGGACTATGGGATTATTAAGCGGTTTAGGCGGAAACAATCATAATGAGGATGTTGAAACCAACAGTTTACAAACCAAAAGTTGGCGCTTCCAGCGATCAATAACAGAACAGCTTAATTTTTACTTGCTTATTGTTGGATGGAGATGGATTGCAAGAAACCATAAGCAAGTCGCTCAAACTCCGAACGCATATACTACAGTCATGAGATAAAATTGCTCTGTAAGATGAAAGATTAATTGCATGTCGACTAACACAGGATACCGCAACGGAATAACACCCCGGATTTCTCAGAATTCTAACCAGTGTAGCAGTAAAATCTATGTATGCTCCATACTCTCGTTGACACCAGTTGTTGGTGCTATTTACGGCTAACTAATCACCACCTAAGTCTTGTACGTATAATGACTCGGCTTCAAGACCCGTTGAACGAATTCGATGTTCGCTCTCCTTGTGCGCAGAAGGAGCAAAGCGACAATACGGCACTTCTTCGAATTTGAGAGGCTAAACACGATTCCTACCAGCTAGACAACCAATCGACTGCTGTATTGACGTTCAAAGACAACTAATATTTTCCTCATACCCTGTCTCGCGACTCCCCTCCAACTACATGAGCGTTTCAGCGCTGAGCGCTGAATAACCATGACGGTCATCATGACAAAGCGACCGGCTACTAAAAGGTGTACCTCATCCTCCCCTGCCTCGGGAAGGTAAAGACTAACACTCGATCAAGTGCACATCTCGTTACACCAACCATCATGCTACAGCCTAGAAGTCCTTGGGACTGATGTAATTGATAGCTGTTGCACGCTTCCAACTTGCAACAGCTACCTACTACTGATGAGGTCTTCGTGATCGAGCGCACCGAGCGTACATCCAGCTAAATGGTGGTCTTATGTGAGATTGCATGTCGTAATCATTGCATAAAACAGACACTAGATAAAGTCCAACTAAAGACGGTCGGTGGGCCTGAATCACCGACTGATTTGTCGTAACTAGGTTCACCTAGACAGCTACCACATATCGGAAAAGGCACCGGTCGGTTGATAGAAATTTGGTATTGCTCGCTCGGAAAAACTGAACTCCACGACGCATTTTGACCTTATTTGCTCTCAACAGGTAGAGAAAGTAAGCCTTGAATCCGGAACCATTGGGTTGTTAGCTGATATCTTTACACCATTAGCCAGTGTCGTCTTTTCGAGCTGGCAAGACCCAATGTCTACCTAGTTCACCAGTTACGGTCCTAGTGGTCTATTCAACCAAAGATCCCTTCAATATGAATCGCTGTCCACAATGAAATTGCGAGTCGCGATCCATTCACACAACGAGTACTCCAAATGGTCCTACAATCAACGTTCGGTTTCTTCTCCCACGTGCGACCTCACGTGGAATATGCTATTCAGGTGTGGCAGCCGTGGCGGAAACAGGATCTCATTGCTCTCGAGACTCCTCAACGAAGGGCAACCAAGAATGTCAGGGGCCTCTTTCATCTGCCCTATCAGCTTAGACTGAAATCTCTGCGAATCTACAGCAGTCGATATCGGCTTTTGCGGGGGGATCTCATAATGGTTTACCAGATTCTGAAGAACTCAAACCACATTTGTCGTCCGCTGCTGGAATTGAACCACAACACTAAACTAAGAGGTCACCCTCTGAAACTGACAATTCAGTATAGTCGGCTTGAATGCCGTAGAAATTTCTTTTCTCTCCGCGTGTGCCAGCCTTGGAACGCCCTCCCTAATTATGTCGTCTCTGCTCCCAATCTGGCGATATTTAAAAAACGTGTTGACGATGCATTGTCTCACTTACGTTTCATTTTATGACTTGTTAACCAGGGGCTACAAAACGCAATCAAACGGTGTCTTGCCAAACGCCTAACCAATGGATTTATGGATTTATATGTTTAATACGCGAACATCTCTGCTATTCCACATAAGTCTATGGTGAGTCCACCATAACGCTTTTCACTTTATCATGCAATTGATTTTCGCAATAATTTCCATCCTACGGGACTTGTTAAGCAACGCTTTTTTACCCGTAATAAACCATTGTTCCATTGTTCCATCTCAGTCACCATTAGAGCACCGTTTAGTCCAGTCCGGAAAAATGTGACCATTAGGATGAGCTGGCTGATCTGCACTTTTTCATTTATTTGTTGATGGCTTAGTTGCACCGATTTTCTATCAATTTCATTTGAATTTTAGCATTTCTCTCAACAGTTTCAGTCAGTGACGTGTGATGCACGGCGTGCCAACTGATTCAGATGGATATCCTGAATAAAACAAATGCCGATTTTCGCTAATTTAACCAACCAGCGCTTTATCTCGGCTTTTTCTTCATCGATTCGGAATTACATTTGCACAGCGAATGGGCAAGACGTCAGCCGCAAGGTGAACACGTATGGGCGATGTGGATAGAGCAGTGCTTGCCAGTCGCAACCTAATGCGCTTGATGAAGAGCACCGTAAGGTCTAAATGTCATCACTTTCCGTTATTCTTCTGGCACCACCGCGTAAGTACGGAAAAACGATGTATGTCATACATCCAACACTGACAGTCTAGATTGCGGTATTGAAGAAGTGCGTTAACTTCTTGCGAACCTTAAAGGCACTAAACGTGTTGGGCAAGACGGCGTCCACGTGTTGATTCGCAAGGCCCTATAGGTCATCCTCTCACTTGCTGTTACTGATTTGTTCAACAGGTCTCTGTCCGTAGGTTTATTGCCAAGTGATTAGAAATGTTGACTTGTACAGCCGATTCAGAAAGGCAGTGACCCCAGCAAAGTGGGCAACTACAGGTCGAGTTCTCTTGCCGCTATTTAGGCCAAAGTTGCTGAGAAGACGGTGGAAAAGGGGTCTATTACAGCGGCCACGATCGTAAGTTCTACTAACGCCTGCACAGCACGGTTTCATGTTAGTCCACTCATGCTTTACCAAGTTGCTCGTAACGAGGCATGAGTGGTTACAGGTAGTGAAGTAAGAGAATTCTGTCGAGGTGACCTACATTGACTTTAGTACGGCGTTCGACAAGGTAAACCCCTAGGTCCTCCTCCACAAGCTGAGAGTGTGTGGTGTTGGTGATTCACTGCGCCATGCGACCCAGAAGTTTCCCGTTTGGCGAAAGTGAAAGGTACAGAATGGTGACCATCTGATTGAATGGTATCTCCCTACTAGTGACGTAGCCCAAAGTACTGTACTGATGCCAACTCTGTTCTAATCCAAATCAATGATCTACGTCAGCGCCTTTGACCTCCGTGTGCCTTGTTTGCGGACTATATGAAAATTTGCAGAGTGGTTAGCAACCCAGACGACTGCGGCCTACCTCAACAAGACCTCGGTAGTCTCTGCATGTGATCTGCTGAGATTCGCCTCCCAATCAACTCAAACACATCGGTATTCATGAGCCTGGGCCTAGGTGGTGACGGCCGAACTTACACTATTGCCGACCAACTGCTACATCCCACGCCTTCCGTGAAGGACCTAGGTGTACTCTTGCGCTGCGAGTTGAAGTCCGTTGATAAAACAAACAAACTAAGTCCTAACGGACTACGCATGCTATAGGCGATCAAACGCAGCTTTTCTACTAGGTCTGGGGCAATCGACACTTGCTTCTTTTCTTCCATCATAAGACCAGTGTTAAAGTACGGGTCGCGCGCCTACTATTCAATCACCCGAGGCGAGTAAAGGAAGATCGAATGGTTCCAACACGTCACTACCATGTTCACTTAGCGTCTATAAGAGTTACCGTAAGAAGACCAGTGCGCGAAGCCAGGACGTTGCACTTTGCCCCATTGGCGAGTGTCGGTCGATCCCATCGTAACCAACCGCCTAATAGATCATGGTGAATTCCCCATGTTTTGACCGCTCCTTCACTTGCGAACGCCATGCAGCACATGCGGGCACCGGTACAAGATTGTGGTTCCAGGTCTGAAGCGAATTCCCAACCCCTGTACTTCGAATGAGGAGGCATGTATGTTTGAAACAGGCTACCAAAACGTTTCGTGGAGGCCAGATCTGTGCACCAGTCCATAAATCTTTTGCATTTACATTTCATCACCATTTACTTCATGTACGATTACACACGGACAATGACATCTCACCTTTCTCAGTTCAGTGATGCTGTAAGTCAGATATTTTTCAAATGCTACATAATAACAAGTTTTACAACATTTTGATCACATTCTGATGAAGTTGTACATATTTAAATTTCTATCTGCTCTCACAATACCGCAATCAATATTTGGATTGCTCACAAAAAGCGATCGGTGGCTCGCCACCAAGGGGCACGTGCAACACAGCTACAAATCTGACAATTGGAACGCATGTGTGTAGGCTTGCTCTCAGTAACGAGTGTAGTTCATTACCACAAAAGATGCAGACGTCCCCGATACTGCTTCATCTCCTCAGACATCCTTATTTGGTATGGTAGGATAAGGACGGTGGGGAATCATTGTGTAGCGACAACAACGTGACAATAAGGCACAATCTTTATTGGCACGATCACAAGCTATAGCACCACTCACACAGAGGCGTAGATTAACGAGTCCCTTTTCTTCCCTCGTTGCACCATCTCTCCTGGCTTCCGCTCGCGACACGTCCATGCACTCTTTGAGGTACGGGAAGAATTATTCAATGTCCATTTCGCCCCCGTAGCTTCGCTTCCACGCGTCCCATTCTGACCGAACCGGAGTCGTTCAATAGTCCTTGCTTTGCTTGAACGTGGATGTATTGCTCCGCTTGTGGTTGTTCCGGGAGGATGCAATAACGGCAGTTTTGTCCGATTTATTACGTTCTCGACAAATATTCTCCCTGTTTTGCCTGGTTCAGGCTCACTACCGGGCGCCGCTCGTGCCCCGTTTTAGTCTCGTTCCGTCAGGTCAGTGTTGCTTCGTCTACTCCTCCTCATTGCGCCCGTTTCCCTTTCCGTCCGCACCGGTTTTACTGGTCTTTCCATC